GCTGATAGCCGACGGATGAACTTGGAGCCCTCTGAAAGAGTTACTCACCGGCACGGAAAGATGGCGGAAAGAGGACGGGAGGAGCCAGCGCACGGGGTTATGGGAAACAGGCGAGTTATCGCGAGATTTTCAAAGTAATTTAAAAAAACACCACACACACACACACACACACACACACACACACCGAAAGTGACTGGCTAGTGGAAGTACGCGACGTAGGGGCGGAGCCTTCTCAGGGATTGGTGGTTGAGAGCCGAAGGACTCAACCTCCCGAGATAAATCCTAGAGGGGATACAGGTAAGGTATTAAAGTTTCGACTACTTTTTGGCACTTAGTACGTAAAAATACAAAATCGACAGTAAGGTCTTAAATATTTGCAAATTATTACTGCAATAACTCACTTATTCACCATTTAGAATGAATTTTGATACTTGCGTATTTATAGTGTTTCTGGAAGGACCCGCAATAGTCTGTCTATGCCTCTGGGAGGCGTTTAGAACTGGGATGGAAACTTCCCTTTTATTTTTATTTTCAGTACCCAGTAGTGGGGATTGAGCCTAGGGAGCGCTGAGTTGAACTGCATCCCTAGCTCTTTTTATTATTTTATTTTGAGACATAATATCCCAGGCTGGGCTCCAGCTTGCGAGCCTTTAGAGACTTGTCTCAGCCTCTGGAGTAGCTGGGACAGAGATTTTTGGTGTTTCTGGGGTGTACATAAAGAGTACGCCAAAAAAAAAAAAAATGTATATACACTTATGGAAAAGAAAAATAGTATGATGATTTTTCAACAGATGGTGTTACCCTCGTATGGGGGACCCTAGAAGATGTCATATATCGCAGAAAACTCACCACACTGCTGGCCCTTAAAGAAGAAACCGATAATGCATGTGCAGCAATCTCAATGGCAGTTAGCCATAGTAATAAATGTCTGGGACCCAATAGCCACACGTTGAGCACCTCTTGTAGAGGCCGTAGGTAACTTGTGTAATCTCATGATGTTTCAATACATTTAGTATTAAAATATTTATAAAGGTTTTTCTTTTCCTGAAGTGTGTATACATTTTTTGGTGGACTCTGTTATTTTCCAAAGTGCTTAAAGATGTTTTTAAATTGGTAATACCTCTTTAAATCTCTGTAATTCTTGTAAGTGTTGATTGAGGATCCAGATGGTTTTTTCCCAGTTCCATGACGCACCTTTGGGAAGAAAACCACAAACGTTGCAAAATAAACAGAGGAGGGCCAGGGATTTAGCTCAGTGGCACTGCACCTGCCTCAAAAGCATAAGATCCTGAGTTCAATCCCTGGCACAAAAAATAAATAAAAATAAAAAATAAACAGATGAGATTCTGAGCCTGTGGCTTTTGTCTACTTTTGTTCCCATGTTCAAGAACTAATGTAGATTAGTCATTTATCATCTCTGAACTTTACCCGGGTGTAGACTGGGGGTACTAATCCTTGCCCTCTTGCCACAGTCAGATGTGGTCATAGTGGCAAAGGGCTTGCACAAGGTTTGGTGCATACATAGTAGATGGGCACCTTTTTTTTTTGGCCAGGAGAAAGGTATAGAGTTGTGGGTACAGCCTGGGGCCCAGGATCTGATCTAAGAGGCAGTGAATTTTGCCTCTGCCCTCTGTGGAACTGAGTGACCTGCAGAGTCAAATTACCTCATCTCTGAAATATTTGCAACAGCCTCCTTACCACACTGTTTCCACCCTCCACCTCCACTTCACCCTACTTTTGTCTTTTCCCTCAAAGCAACCAGTAGGACCTTTGTAAAACTGAAGTCAGATGATGCACACTCCGAGGGCTTCCCCAGTAAAATCCAGCTTTCTTAGGAAAGCTGATGTGCACACCTCCCTCCTTGCACAAGCACATCAGGCCTCATCCTCACCAATCTACCCTGGCTTGCTATCTTGAGTGAATTTTTTCATGTTTGGTGTGTGTGTGTGTTTCTGGACCTCCAGCATGTTAGACAAGTAAAGTGCCCTACCATTGAGCTAAATCCTCAGCCCTCTTTTTGAGACAGTTTTACTAAATTTCCCAGGGTGCCCTAGAATTTGTGATCCTCCTGCCTCAGCTTCCCACGTAACTGGGATTACAGATGTGTGCCATCACGTCTGGCTTCCCCTGGCTTGCTTTCCTTTACACTCCAAGCATGCTCCACCTCAGCCTTTGCGTTTCCCTCTCACTTTTCCCTCTCACTTGAGCACCTCTCCCCCACTTCGCCAGGAGGCTAGCTCCCTGGCTCACCTCAACAGGGCATTCAGCCACACCCACCACACATACACCTCCCTCCTGTTACCCCAGCCCTGCTCCATTGCACTAAATTAACAGAAGTCTAACTATTGTGTCTCCTAGCCCTGGATCATTTAGTTCCAAGAAGGCAGGGACTTAGTCGATTTTGTTTTATCACTGTACTCATGTTATCTGGCACATAGTAAGCCCTCAACACATATTTGATAAATGAGTGGACAAATCAGTTTCCCCATCTGTTAAATGGGGACGATACCACCACCCCCTAGAAGTTGCTGTGAGGGGGATAAACGGGAAGATCCATGCAGGAGATTAACACAAACCCTGGCAGAGACTGCTCATGTAATACACTATCTCAGCCCATCACATCGATCCCCACCACTTCCCAAGTCCCAGTCTTACCTTCACAGAAACAGAGCTTCCAGTCTGTACATCTCAGGAATATAGCATGCACTGGTCACTATGTACACTACAGAAGGACCACCGGGTTTTAATTTTTTTTTTTTTTTTTGAGACAGTCTCGCTATGTAGCTCACTCTGGCCTTGAACTCATAATGCAGCCCAGGCTGGGCTCGAACTCCTAGCAATCCTGCCTTGGCCTCCCAAGTGCTAGGATTACAGACATCCGCTACCACACCTGGCCAACCATTGGCTTTTTAAATGAAAATTTTCTTGACATACTGGCTCCCTGTACAGCTACAACCCATTCTGTTACTAGAAACATGCAGATCATTTAACTGGGGGCCTTAGCAAGAAGTAGGGAGTTGGGCCGGGGATTTAGCTCAGTGGTTTCGCCGCCTGCTGCACAAGCACAAGAACCTGAGTTCGATCCCCGGTACCAAAAAGAAAAAAAAAAAAAAGAAGTAGGGAGTTGACAGAAAAAAGCACTTACCTTAAAGAGCCTTACAGTAAATAGAAAAATAATCCATTCACTGTCTATACTCTGAATTCATCTAATAAATATCACATGTCTGCCATGTGCCGGGTATTGTACCAGATGCTAAGCAGACAGAACTGTCCATTCCTGTCCTAAAGAGGTTCAGACTGCAGTACTGGAGACAAACTAGTGACAACAGCGTGCCACGTAGGGAGGCAGTGTGAAGTGCTGTAAGGATGCAGAGGTAACCTGGGAAGCTGCTAAAGCTTTACCAAAGCAAGGGCTACTTGATCTGTCACACAGATACTACCTACCAACGCTGCCACCAAGTGCTTCCTGTCACTCAGCAGCCCCTCACAAGTGCAGGCTGAGATCTCTGCTGTGGTCCCCGTGTCACAAATAAGAAAACTAAGTTCTATCTTAAATTGACCAAACTTCAAAATTTTGTTTAAAAAATCAAAGCAAAAAAAAAAAAATGTTACTTAAGATACTAAATTACTTGGTAGGGATTTGGACCTAAATCTTTCAATCCCCAAGTGGGTGCATGGGACAGTAGATAGTCTAGGCTTGTGGCAGCCCCGCTCTTAATATCAGTCAGGAGCTAGGATGGCATGGAATCACACAGAAATGGATAGAAAACTCAGGATGGCTGGGTTGGAATAGGATAATTGGGTGGAGAAATGGAGCAGAGAGCTCTGTATAAAGTACCCCACAAATTGAGTTTTTGGTGTAGCCAAACCAGAACCAGCTGTCTTCAAACAGGACTGATCATGAATTGAATGAAAATAAAATGCTAACATATGAACTGCTAGCACTGAGTTACCTCTTAAAAACTCCCACATCCTGTAGGGTTGAGGGAAACTCATCAGTTAGGCCATGAGCTGAGAATAAAATACCCTCCCCATCTGATTTCCCTTGGCACAACTCATTCCAAAAGGTTTCCTCCTGGGCAGGGATTTAGCTCAGTGGTTTCGCCACCTGCTGCGCAAGTGCAAGGACCCAAGTTCAATCCCCAGTACCAAAAAAAAAAAAAAACAAAAGGTTTCCTCCTATGTGAACTATGGGATGACAGGACCTCTGCTGTGCTGGAGGTAGTCAGGGCTTACCTTGAAAGGGACTTGCTGCAGCCAGAGCTGGCATCCAGGCAGCCCCTCCAGGAGTCTGGCTTTGAAGGAGCCAAGCTGGCCTGGGAAGGGAGCCAGCCAGGTGAGGTTGATGTAAGCAATAATCGCAGCTGCACAGTTGAAGACCAGCATTTTAGAAACATCAGGCAAGGTCCTGAGTTCGATCCCCAGTACCAAAAAACAAATAAACACGTATTGCTAAGAAACGTCAGACAATCATGCAGACTGCTGGTAACCTTAAGACTTTATTGGTGGACATCACCCAAACCCCAGGAGGCTCCAAAGAAGGATCCATACTTTTTGGGGTGGAGGAACTCAGATTATGGTAATTTACTACCAAATCTATTCCCAGGACCCACCAAAAAGTATAGCCAGGGACATAAAGCAGTTGGAGCTCTTGAAGTGTTTCAAATGCAGACAGGTTATTCCGCCATTATTTCCTGAGCAGCTCTCCAGGACGAACCCCCAGAGCTCTCCCCAGGGGACAGAAGCACCCAGGTGGACACCTGTGGAGCCCTCTTCCAGCTGCCCACCCACATCATCTGTGCCCCTTACTGTATTTCTTTCATCCAGCACCGAGCCTCCGTCTTTGCTGAATGAATACATTTAAACTTTGGATTTCATTTTGCTCTTAAAGAGTACTGAGAGATCTGTAATGCTCACACAGGGAACTTCACTAATTGGCTTCATAAATTCAATCATGAAAACATTAGATTGGCTAAGTTAGAAAGAAAGTGAGACACCAAAGAGATTCCAGCTTTTATTTTTCCCTTTCACACAAAACAAAGGAGAAATAATACAGGATTAAAACTGCCAGGGTAGTTAACTGGTAGAACACACATTCACAAAAAAAAAATCCAGATAAGACAGGCTTATTTACACTGAGGAAACACATGTAAAATTAAGGTAGCCGTATGAAAATTTTTTTTAAAAAATTAAACATACAATGCATCCCACTGTTTACAGCAATATCAAAGGGAAGAAAACAATACTTATTTGGGGACAGATATACCACAAGGTTTTACAGCATCAGCGCAATGAATTCACAGAACTATATTACAGCTAGTTAAGGAGTTTAAGAATTGTTCCCAAATATGTCACATTTTTGGCCCTCAAAGGTTCATTCTTACAGATGCCAGCTATTCTAAGTTTCCAGCTACTAAGAGGGAAAGAATGACTATAAGGAGTTTTCCAAGGACTTATAAAATCTATGTGGGCCAGAGGCCTATCTGTCATCACAACCCTGCTCTCACCAACAGCCCTTGAGAAATACTGAGGAAAAAAGTCAAATGCCAGTGTAGTCACTATGTCCAATGCAAAACCTATGGCAATCAAAATATAGCCAGTATTACTGTAAAATGAGAAAGAATTGTAGGGCCTACCTTTGAAGGCTTTTTCTGATCTTAGAAATTAGTTATTTTATTTTCTACTGCAATGAATCTTGACTAACCATAGGAAGACTTTTGTCCTTTACTGGCTGTTATTGGAATAAAGGTCACAGACTTGCATCTTAACCTACTGTGTATGCTGTAAAAACCCAAAATGAAAAGTATGCTAAATATCCTAAAATACAGTCTTTTGGAAATGTGCTATTAAAAAGCCTTTAAGGATTCACTGATGAAGTAGGGCAGGGGAACAAGAGCTCTACACCTGTCTGATTCCCCATGTAAGACAAAGGATCGATACTTCCTAGAGATTACTGTTTTGCAAAAAGGAGAAACCTATATGTACTAGGGCATGGAATCAATTTCACTTTATTCCATAGATTCTTCTCCAGTGGTAAAGAAACAGTCTGAGGAATGACTTCTAACTGGTCTCTTCATCAGGTGTGGTAAACTTGGTCTTTATATTCATGAAGTCTGTTTTTTAAGCAGACTGTGGAAGCAGACAGTAGAACCAGCTTCCTAGAGCCACAGACTGCTACCTTCTATCTAGCTAAAGCAAACATCAACCCAAACAACTGTCCAAAGTCACTGTTAACTGTACTAAAGAGTAAAGTTCACCACTGTATTATTTTAAAAGAAGTTGTCAAAAGTAAGAATTTAGTTAACCCTGGGTGAGAAAAATCAAAACAAGCCTTACTTCCTAGTGAGTTGTCCAATTAAGGCCAACTGATGAGAATGCACCCAGCTACAATTAACAAAGACACTGCACAAAGCATTACTGGCAAGTGTGAATTTCTACTAAGGGAAGAGTGCGGGAAAGCAAAGAGCTACTTCTGTAGCATTTCAGTATCCACACAGCACAGTAGAAACTATTCCCAGGGCAATGCATACTCATTAACCACACTGAATAAAACAGATGTATTATTCATTTTTCTTTTCTTTTTGTTTCAGAAGCTTGTTTATCTCCCTTTTGGCCATTCCAATATACTTCGAAATGATTCCATGTTGGTTCAGTCCAGGAAGCAACAGTAAGAAAGTCACTTAAAATAAACAAACAAACAAAATTAAGGAGATAGCAATTATTTTTTCTTTAGTACCAGGGATTGAACCCAGTACTTTGCATGAGCTACATCCAAGCCCTTTTTTTTTTTTTTTTTTGTAGTACCAGGGATCTAACTCAGGACCTTGTGCTTGGCAGGCAGGTGCAGTGCCACTGAGCTAAATCCCTGGCCCCTACTAGCCTTTTTTGAGACAGGTTTTTGCTAAATTGCTAAGATGCCCAAGCAGGACTCAAATTTATAATCCTTCTGCTTCAGTCTCTCAGGAGAAAGCAATTAACCTCCTATAAAGATTATCACATTTTATTTATTTATTTGGTACTGGGGATCGAACTCGGGTCCTGGCGCTTGCGCAGCAGGCAGCGAAACCACTGAGTTAAATCCCTGGCCCAAGATTATCACATTTTAAAGAAGGTAGATTTCCTAGACTATGAGAACTCTAATGGGAGGAAGTAATACAAATCTATTCCAGTGGACCCTTGAGTTATGACTGGCCTGACAGATGAACAACTTGAGTTATGACCAGAATTTGTTTTAACTTATGACCAAAGTCTTGAGTTACTTCCAGATGGTCTCCGATACAGTAACCCTTAAAGACTTCTGGGAGCACCGTTACAACATCCTTTCCTGGGTGGGGTTGAGAAATCCTGGGCCTGTGTCTCTCCAAGGACACTGAGATCTGCCTGTATATAGGAGAGAGACTTTGAAGGCTGTGCAGAGGAGCCTGAGCCTTCAGTTGACCAACTTGAGTTACAACCAGCCCTCAAGAATGAACTGAGTTCATAGGTCAAGAGTCCACTGTATTTAAGTTTATAATTATCCAGCCCATTTATTCTGGTTAGAACTTTTTTTTTTTTTTTTTTTGGTACCAGGGATCGAACTCGGGTCCTTCTGCTTGGCGCAGCAGGCGGCAAAACCACTGAGCTAAATCCCCGGCCCTCAGCCCATTTATTCTGTAAACATGCTTGTGATCCAAAGCACTTGTATTTCAAGCAAATTTCCCTATGAAAATAATGGAAACTCAGAGGATTTGTTCCACAACCCCAAAATAATCATATAAAAATGATGACAATACTGTTAATATAACACAAAATAATAAAGAAAAGATAAAGAAAAATAGACAAATTAACCTGCAGTTCCCTTTGAAAACCTCTGTGACTGGTGCGAGGGAGACAAGGCAGAGGAGGGCTACTGTGTAGGGCGACCTTCACTGTCACTCCACGAATCACTGCTTTTTGCTCAACGGAATCTTTTTTTTTTTGGTACTGGGGATCAAACTCGGGTCCTTGAGCTTGCAAGGCAGGCAGTGGAGCCACTGGGCTAAATCCCCAGCCCGGGAATCTTTTTCTTTTCCTGCAACTTTAACAAGGAACCCACCCAATGACACTTGCTTTTTTGCCTCCTTTTGAGGATTTCACAGAAACGTTACATTGCACTGTCACTGAACAGATTCACCACTTGCACTGCGACAGCCTTACCCGGGGGGTGCTCTCAAATGCTGCACTGTCTCCCACATTTTACACATCGCCCTGACTGCATCTGAAGTGAGGGATTCCTCTGCTTTTTTTTTCCCCTTCTCTTCCATAACCTCTTGCTGCCAGGATATGATCACCCACAATCTCGCAGGGAGTTGGGGGAACCATTTGCTCAGTTGTGATCATGTGATGTTCATTTATTTTTACTTCCTATTGTCTTTATTACTTGCTTGAAATACAAGTGCAAGCATGTTTTCAGAACAAATTATGCTCGCAAACTAAGGTTTCACTGTACTGTCTACTTTAGGGTTATTACAGGGTTTTGTGTTTACTTGCTGTAAGACCCTAAACTCCCTGAAAACAAAGACCTGAGTCTTAGTCACATTTCTATACTCCCAAAGTTCTTTGGTCAGTACCTGAAATGTGCTAAGTACTCACATATTTGCCTACGCTGTATTTAGATTTCACTGCCTAGGATGTGACTGTAGGACTTCCACAGACTTACCTATCAGACAGGTGAGAAGCAGATTATGGACTTGCTGTCCCACCCAAGCAACCGCGGCAAGAGAAATGATCATGGTCACGAAGTACTAACAAGGAAAACAACAAGAAGTTTATTAACTCGCAGAAAAAGGCTGAGAAGTGTGACTGTAGGAGTTTGTTTCACCATTCCACAATTAGTATGTCTATCAAAACATCACATATACCATAAATACATATAACTTTGTCAGGTGAAAGTTTGTTTCAAAGAAAGGAAAAAGAAATTTAGCTTTTCTCACCACTTTTCCTTAAAAATACTTAATTTCAAAATCTGTATGTTCTAAAAACCTACAGAAAACTCCATTTGATCTACTTTATAGAATCTAAATACATTTCCTCCTAGAATTACTGAGTCTATAGAGTAAATGCTTTAAGACATAAATTATACTATTTTTCCAGTTAATAAGTTCATATAGTATTCTCATATGAAGCTGAGAGATAACAGATGTTTTCTGAGTGCATGTCTTTCAATTTTACTTTAGTAAGGAAAAAAACCTCTGTTCTACTAGAACAGAAAATTAAATGCAAGCTGGGGATTTAGCTCAGTGGCACTGTGCCTGCCTTGCAAGCACAAGGTTCTGAGTTCGATCCCTGGTACCAAAAAAACAAAAAAACAAAAAAAGAAATGCAAAATATGATTTTTCGTGTTCAATGATCCAGTCTAATTCAGATAAACATTTATGAATGTAGCTATGAGTCACACCTAAAGCAAATAATAAATATCAAACTATAAGTTTTTTGTTTATTTTCTCCTCATCTTGTTTGTTTTTTGAGACATGGTCTTGCTGTGTAGTTCAGGCTGGCTTCGAGCTCAGAGTCATCTGCCTGCCTCAGCCTCCTAAGTGCTGGAATTACAGGCATGCGCTACCATGCCTGGCAAAAACTATAATTATTAAAAGAAAAGTCTATCATTAGGTTACAAAAAGCTAAACTTAGGATTGTGCTTTACAGTTATGTAAGTCAAAGCAAAAAAAAGTACCATTTTAGGCTTTTCTTCCTTTAGTGTAAAGAGGCGTTTCCACCAGCCCACAGCTCTGCGTCTAGTCTTTACTACATTGCTGCAAATTTCATGGAATCTTTGCTGTTGTTCAGTGGTCCTAGAAAAAGAATTTTCCCTTTTGTTATAAGGAAATCTCCATAGTAAACAAATACATCATCCTCTTAAAGTTGTATGTATATATACATCCTTTGTTATTTAATAGAGTGTTAGTGCTAATCTGTAACTCCAGAGTCACATTTGGTTAATGATAGTAACAAAACACTTATAACTTCTATCGGCTATGTAGAAATCATTATAAATTTGATTTTCCTGGATTACTTTTCAGATCCTAATTCCTGCACTGTAGTCCATTAGTCTCACTGAACAGCTGTATCTGACCACTGCAATGTCAATGGCGCTCATATTCAAAGCTAACAACCCCAACTGGGCTTATACATCTGACACCACAGCAGCAATAAACAGCTCAAACTCAATTATTGATAAATTTAGTACCTCTGAGGGAAAATAGAAATGACGACAACAACAAAAATGCAGTAAATATTCAACAAAAAGAAAGCCCAATTGTTCTTGTTCCCAATTACCAAAAAAAAAAAAAATGAACCCTGTATTTATTATCTTTGCTGCACAGGAACAATGGCTACCAGAAACAGGACCTGTGCTAAAGAATGTGCTGCCTTCTCCCTTCCCATCTTCATTCTGGCAATCAAGTAGGATTTCTGCTGAGCCACAAAACTTCTTGTAAACAATTAGACCTTCTATGGTGACCATGGTCAAGGTTAGATTGTGGCTCTGCAACAGTGTTCTTTCTTTCCCACAAGATCATTCCCATAATATTAAAAAAAAAAAATTTTCTGCACTATCGATAGCAGTTACCATGAAAGCATGAGTGTTTATTTCTGAAAAGTTTCTTGTAGGAGTTATGAATTCCCAGATTAGAATGTTATCTGGCTACTAAAGTCAAGGTCAATGGTTGCTTCCCTTTGTTAAACTGGCTCCACTGCATGGTCACAAACTTGTTGCCCCAAACAACAGTATTATTAATTCATTACTGCAAGTGAAAACGATTCAGAAGAGAGTTCCTAATACTAATCCATTCTGGGAGGAAAACATGTTTCTAGAAACATGCTTACTTATCCCATAGTTTAAGCAAACTCTCCCAAAATATATGAATTTGCCTTAAAAAAGATTTATAAGCTACATATTTAAAATTTTCATTTTTACAGATCTTATTATTTGCTGTCATCTGGAAACAAAAGACTAATGTCACGGAGTTGGGGATGTGGCTCAGGGGTAGAGCACTTACCCAGCATGTGTGAGGCCCTCGGTTCAACCCCCAGTACTACTGAATATATAAGTAAGTAAATAAATAAATACTAAGACATAAGGAGAAAATTAACTTAAGGAGGAATAGCAGCTGGGAAGAAAAAAAAACTATTCAAACATCTGATTTAGCTCATTATTTGGATTAAAGGTGGGAAATTCAACATTCTAGAGGGAAGTTAAAAATAGTTTTAATATGATACTTTGTCATTTAACTATAACCTTTGGAATTCAGAAGCAACTGAATAATGATAAAAATGCAATCAACAATACACTTGTATATATAGCTTGAATCTATTCTGAGGTACTTGGCATGCAGTTGGCTAACTCCTACTCTCCTACTGCCTCAGTGTCCTAATGCCTCAGCCTTAAGCACAGACAATCTTAAAAGGCAAAATACTTCACAGCACCTAGAACAGTGCCTAACCTAGCAGACATTTAATAAAGATCTGCAAAGTGAATGTGGATAAAAATGTACCACTAGTGGTGTTTGTAATTAAAATAGTTTATAAAATTAATATTATGCAACTTTAAAGTAGCAGTGTAAAAATGTCAAAGCACAACTTTTTTGGAAAGCTTATTTTGAGCTCCTTTAAAAAATATTCACACCGGGGATTTAGCTCAGTGGTTCCATTGCCTGCCCTGCAAGTGCAAGGACCTGAGTTTGATCTCCGGTACCAAAAAATAAAATTAAATTAAATTAAAAATATTCACTTTGCCAGGGATGTAGCTCAGTGGCACCGCGCCTGCCTGGCAAGCGCAAGGTCCGAGTTCGATCCCTGGTACTAAGTAAATAAATAAATAAATAAAAATATTTTTTAAAAATTCAACAAAAACTCTAAAGAGAACACAAAAGGTAAATGGTTGACCATAAAACTACTACAGAGACATAAGTACTGGAACTTCATGACTCATATCTGAAATTAGCTAAGAAACTCTTTACATAAAAATCAATAAATCTTAACTCCTAGGTGTCTGCTAGGTAGAGAATTGTCGGCAAATACAGCATACTAATCACATCCACCAGCATCAGTAACTTCTCAGAAATTAGACTGCCAAATCATTATGCCACCTACCATTTATTGGAGCCAAAAATTCTAGGCGCTAGAATGGGAACAAGGTAATCAGCCAAGCACAAAAACATAACAAAACAGGAAACGCCGGACAGAACAGATGGATCTAGATAATAGATAATCCTGTTAAAAAAAAAAAATCACGGTTAGAAAAACAGGCATCACTGTTCTGAAGCTGAAGATGTTTATTCACCCAGTGTACAGGTTTTCCAACATGGTATTCAGTTTTCTATTTTCCCACAAGTGGTTTTCCAGTCCTCCGGACACGCTAACATCACACCTGCACTCATTAATGTAAATACCAACAGGCAAAAGCTCTTCGCGAGCCCTTCCACAGTAATTTAGGAGTGTAAAGGAAGGGTGGCGAGGACAAAACGTTTGAGTCACTGCACTAGGCGATCGGTTTACGTAAGTACTCAAATTCTGGAAAGTACGTGAACTGCTTGCAAAGAAAGGTATTCTTTACAGATTATGGACTACCTGATCCTTTCTTAATAATAAGCACAACCTTAGTAATGTAAAAGCACACTTACAGAAACACCAGAGAAACCACACCCACGATGGCAGGTGGAAACCAGGCTTTCTCCCATCTGAGGACTTTATCAGCCACCAGCATCACTTCTCCCCATCCTTGCAGCTGCTCTTCCAGACTCGCAGTCTCCACAGCCTATGCGTGATCAACATTTACAGTGATCATTTGACAAGTCTCAACACTTCTGTGGTTCAGAGAGAGTTAAATTCTTCAAAGGCACCAAATATAGAAAATGCCTCCATCAAATTGCCATCTTGCTGGGTGTGGTGGTGCACACCTGTAATCCCAACACTTGGGAGGCTCAGGCAGGAGGAGACCCAAAAGTTCAAGGCCAGCCTGAACTACATATCGAGACCCTGTCTCAAAAAAATAAAAAAACAACAAATTGCTATCTTAAACTGGCTAGTTTTTTGGGGTTTTTTTGGGTTTTTTGCGGGGGGGGGGTGTCTTGCAACCTTGGTACCAAAGACAAACCAACAGAGGTGAAAAAACTCATTCTTTGAAGTCACCTTTCCAGTCTAAGCCCTGGGCTACTCTTTACATCCATAATATGACATAATCTTTACAGAAATCCACAGCGTACGGATAAAAATCATTTTAAGCTCACTTTCTTTAATTTCAAATGAGTAAACTAATTTCCCCAAAGTCATGCAGGAGTCATGTGACAATGCCTAGAGTATTAATAAAATTCGATCCTTTAGGTTTGTTCATTTCAGGTGGTTTAAAATTGATCTGTTGCTTTTGTCATTTTATTGATTTAAACTCTTGTTTCTAAATCCATTAGGAAACCCTCTTCCTGAACAGCATTCAATCTCTAAAGTAGCTCTTTGTGTAACAGAACCACTTACATGTTAGCATTCATTGCATAGTAAGGAAAACTACTTTAGCTAAATTACATGTGGCATTGTAAGCTTAGTATATCTCAATACCATGTTTCTATCACTCATGAAGACCTTTTGGTTAGATATCAAATTTCTCTGTAAATATGACACTCAAAAGCCAACCTCTAGGATGACCTAATGTAGCAAAAGCCCTAAAGCTGATTTTGGGTAAAGGAAGATAAAAGTTAAACAAGAAATCTAAGTGTTAGGGCTGGGGATTTAGCTCAATGGTTCCGGTGCCTGCCTCACAAGCTCAAGGTCCTGAGTTCGATCCCTGGTACCAAAAACCAAAAAGAAATCTAAGTGTCACTGGAAATATACAAAGTTACGATAATGCAAATCAGTCTTAACAAAGATTGTACCTGTGCCACAATGATCACTAAGATGGCCCCAGTATTTCTGACTTTATATCCCATGCTTAATGCTAAGAAAATAAATAAGTTTAAAATAAAAAATACATATAATTTATTATATTATTCTTATAATTTAAATAAGAAAGTTAAATAAATTTCTCTGTGCTGGAAACCTTACGCATTTAACATACTTATATTAGTCCTCCCAAAAACGCTACAAAGATGTTGTCACTATTCCTTTATATACGCGAAGAAACTGAGACAAGGCCTTGATCTCCTTATAGTTCTCTGCTGCAAAGAGCAGTTGAGTGGGGAATGAGGAGCTGTGCGCCAGGACCTGTCATTTCAACAGAAGTTGGGCAACTTCTTGCTGCCTTAATCCTCTGAAAAGGTGCCATGCTGGTGGCTAACCCTAAAGGGATGGGTGTGTGTACGTGTGCGCGTGTGTATGTGTGCAAGGAGACAAGCCATGTACTTCTAAAAAGCAATGAAAGTGAAAATCATGCACAATCAAAACTGCTTCATTCGTCAGCATTTGGGCTCTTGCAAGTGCAAAAGCCAAAAATTAAAATTGTTTCTCTTTTCATTTCCGCTGTGTAGTCGGCCTTTTTCTGGAGAAGTGTGATGGTGAAAACACAAGGATATCTCTTGGTTTTGCCTGAATGGTGCAGTTAAAGTCGTGATGAATTAAATCTGTCTGCCCATGACACAAATTCACGCAGTTCCTTTGCATTCTTGCTTAGTATTCCAAAATCGTCTCCAGTCCTCGAGTGACCAGCTCCCTTCCAAATTCCAGCCGAAGCCCGGTCCTCCCATTTGTCTTTTCAGCTGAACCCCACTTCCAGTTCCCTGCAATGAGTTCGCAGCTTCCCTGCGTGGTAAGTTGTGCCAGCTCTAACTACTGCTCGGCAGCAGTCCTTTGACCCGAGAAAACAAAGACGGCACATCAAGCGAAAACCAAAGAAGGGGAACCTGGAACGGCTGGGGCCTGGGCCAGAAAACGCTGGTCCGCCCCTTCGCCGGCCTCTGCCCCAGCTGCACCCCAGGCTCTTTCTGCCACAGCCCCCTTCTCCCACCTCCTCCTCAATCCCTAGTTGAAGTGACGAGTCACGCGGATGTCAGAGGCCGACAGGCCTAGTGACCGACCCCCAAACCTCAGAAGACCCGGGGTCAGGCCTCATCGCCTGCACGGGAAACCGCGGGAGGAGTGCCGGGCCCAGTGCGGGACCCACCCTGCAGAGCCCACTGAAGCCCGGAGGCCCGCTCGGTTCCCTTAGGACAGGCCGCTGAGACTCACCAGCAGGTTGGTGCTACGATTATCGCCTTCCGCCATTGTCCCCGAGATGCAGGCTCAGCTAGGGCAGGCCGCCCTCCAAGCCCACCTCCTCCTACCGCCCGCACTGCTACCGAAACGCGGAGGAACGCCCCGTAAGCCGCTTATATAGGCAGCCGCCTTTCCCGACAGCTCTCGCGAAGCTCGCCCCTCATTGGGCGAATTGAGCTCAAGCGTAAGGGAAGCCTGCCCAACCTCTGCCCAGCGCAGGGCTTGAAATCGAGGTCAAAGGAGAGAAGCCGAAGCGGCCCCTGGGGGGAGGGGCGGAGACACAGACCAACCAATCAGCGCGCAGGGGGCGTGCTTTGCCCTGAACTGAAGCAGTTTAGTTACCGGCTGGAGCTGGGGTCGCCGTAGCTCTCGGTCTCCGTCTGTATGGCCGGCGACGTAGCTTGCAGTCCTTCTTCCGGTGGTTCTAAGAAGCTAAGGAGCCTCTCTGGAAAACTGAGTAGTGGAAGAAATGTGCTAACGTGGCTGAGGAAGGCGGCTAGGATCCTCTTTCCCACCAGCCCGCCGCCCTCTAAGCAGTTTAACGCAGAATGTGATCCAGGGGCTCGTGCTCACCTCGTGAGGTTTTGAGGACAAGGGAAAGAGCTTTTGATGTGGATTTTGCTGCCTTGTTTTTCTGCTGCTCAGTAGGAATAAGGCCTTAACTTGAAAGGAAAAACAGTTTGAAGAGGGGAACAATGCACCTGACTTTGAAAGTGGCTTATGTATTAGGATATTTAGCTTCAGGGATTCGTTTTGACAGGAACTTAGATGAAAGGTCATGCTAAGGAAAGATATAACTCTTCTCATAAACAGTGAAATTTATAAGCAATTTTGGAACTAGATCAACTATGTCGAGGCATTTCTGTATCTTACCTAGCCAAGATTTCAAAATGCATTAACAACTTTTGAGTTTCATTATTCAATGCAAAAACATGCCAAACGTTGGCCTGATCAGCTGTTTGTCCAGATAATGTTTTTAACTGGCAATCTGTTATGTAACTCATAAGGCACCTATTGATCTTACATTTGTTTTGAAAGCATTATTTAATTCTTCATGAAATTCAGGTAAAAGTTCAAGGAAGGAAGTAATAAGGGAAAGTGAGAAAACACAGCTACAGATCAGACTGGCCCTAAGGAAGCCCTTGGCAGGAGCAAGAGCATTGAGAATTTCATGGACGTGTGCACAATTTGCTATTGATTTTGGGGAGGCTGTGATCAAACCCACGGCATTGACCATGCTAGGTAAGCCAAGCAGTCTGTCTCAGCTACACTCAGCCCTGCCATGGATCTTTAGCAAGTCCCTAGACCTGCAAGAAATATTTGAGTGAACAATAATGCCTTTGCAAGTGAAGGAGATTCCTCAATTAAGGGCCACTGTAGGCAATGTGGGAGAAAAGACTGATACAAATATGACGCCACTGGGGAGATTTTTAGGCTGTGGAATTTGAGGAATAAGCCCTCCACTTTTTTTTTTTTTTTTTTTGGTAGTACTGGGGATTGAACCCAAGGCCTTCGCACTGAACTATATCACCAGCCCTTCAAAAACTTTAAATTTTGAGACAGGGTTTAGTTAGGTTGGCCAAGTTAGAGCTAGGATTAAAGGTATGTGCCACCCCTTTACTCCCCATTTTCAAAATAAAGGACAAAAGGACCCAAGCAATCAGCTGCTACATCATGCAATGAGATGCCAATCTTACTGGGAACATGGTAACATCCAATTTCAAGAGGCCAGAGTTAGGAGGCTTTAAAAACTGATTTCTACTTTGGGAACTTGGCTTCTACTACAGAATGCTTTTGGTTTTTGAGTATCGTAGCACAACTTAAAAAGAAAGACTAATTTTAAACACTAGCTTGTGAAAGGTAGGTGAAAAAGCAAAGGTAACTCAGACAGCAGTTTCTCTGGAGTCTTTTACTCACTGATTTTGTTCCCAGACTCATTTCCAAATGTACAATTTAGAACTTCCACAGAGCCCACTAAACTGCCAAGTGGCCCGATTATTAAAAAGACTTCTCTTAATGGAGCTTTCATTTGAGCTTTATTTTTGTACCACAAAGACAGGATATGATCTCTTGAAATGTGCCAGATGATTAAGCAGTTAACATGCACCCTAACAGCCTAGCAGCAACAAATGGAATCTTTGATACTAAGGCCTGGACATTGTTTTTCCTTCAGAGCTTTCAAGCCCCTGGGAACGCATCTATCTATCAAGGATGGTCTGCAAGAGCTTTGTTTCTTAAACACTGCTGAAATTAAGCTTAATTTGTCCTTAATATTAGGAACTTTCCAATTGAAGCGAACTTCCCCTGCACATTAAACAGTGAACAGAAAATCGAGAGTAAAATAATTCTTTTGAAAATGAAATTTTTTAAATTTTGGAGATAATTAGTGCTTAAAATAAAAAGGCTACCCGTATTCCAAAAATCAGGCACACTGGGATCTAATTCAACCAATAATTCAGACCTTAGATGTTACATCTTTTAAGACGGAACCTTTATTTTTTGAAAAACAGGTATTCCATACAATCTTTGCCTTGTTAATGCAAATATGCAAAGTAGGCATGTATATTTCTGATTTCCAAAAGATGCATTATGAACATTTTCAGGAAGCTGGTGTGATTTATTCAACTTTTAAATACAATCACAAAATTATATCCATCAGGAGGCATTACAACCTTTTGTACAGAGAAGCCACTATTTATACAATGTTACTAGGACAAGGAAGATTCGGCTCAACTCAACTCTTATAATAAGGGTAAAAACCAAATTAACATGTGAAGTATGATGTCATTGCCACTGACATTACAGGTGGAAATATAAGGGAAATTTAAGCCAGAAAAGTAAGTGACATAGTAACTTTAAACAGGAGCTGAAATTTTGACTGTCAGGAAAAGGAAAAACAACAGGAAACACTATATTTATTATTTTTTGTTTTATTTTTTGGTACCGGGGATTAAACTTGGGACCTTGCGCTCGCAAGGCAGGCGATGGAACCACTGAGCTAAATCCCCGGTCCAGGAAACACTATATTTAATCAGCCTGTTTTGAAAGAAAAACATTCTAAAGTCTGCATTTCAGAATAACATGCAATTCTTTGCCATCTTCAAAAATCAAGCTAATTGTATGACAGTTTTTACATTAGCACAACAGTTTTGTTTCCCTAGTAAGCCTAGCCAAATTCCCATGGAAAGCAAGGGACCCTAAGTGACTGCTTTGTAACTAACCCTTGAACTCAAAAGCTTCTCTCAGAGTCAGTCTGCCCTTTTGCAAATTAGAATATTGACAGTTATCCAGGCCAAAAAGCAGGAAAGTGCAGCAAACCCTTAGGGTTTCATAATACAGTGAATTTTCCCTCCCCAACATTTAGAAAATTTTGTGACGCTTGCTAGTATTTCCCCAAAGGAGGAATCTAATACTACGCAAATAACTAAAAACAAAATCCACTTCCTTTAAGTAACCCTTGCATTAATATTTCTACCTTCGTGATTTGTGTGTGTGTGTGTGTGGTCCTAATTCTAAGTTACTGGCATTTTTTATAAGTTCAACAAGATATAAAATGGAACACTGGTTTCACACTCATAAATTTATGTAAAACAAAGATGCTTAAATGTGCTAATAGTGACGCACTCACTGATATTTGATGTATAGGAATAGGAGGAACAGGCTAGCTGTAGGTGCTTTCATTGATATGAAAAGAATTTGGAGAAAAGAAGAACCAGCTCCTTTGATTTTAGTACTGCCAAACAAGTAAGCCCCCAGAATAATTACAAAAATGTGGAGGAAAATAGGCCAGGAAGACTTTGATTTAAAGTACTGCCTATAATACCCCAGATTAAAAAGGACCTAAGATTGCACATCAACTCTAATATTTGGCTGTACTTGCATTGCCCTGCTTGGCATTTTTTAAATGGCTCTATCCTTAAATTTCACACATCAGAACAACCACAGTTAAAACAACAAAATATAATGCAGATAACACCAAACATTGGACAAAATTAAGAAAACTACTTACTAAACTTAGTAAGTAATAGAGGCAAGTGTTAAGGGCAGAAGTGATGGAAGTTTTTCTTTGTGTTACAGACCCTCACCCTGAACCTGACATTTGAGTTTTGAAAGACCAATTCAGGGAAGCAGATCAAGAGCCCGATTATCAGTTCTCACACAGAAATCTCACACATATCTCAAACAACTCACTACAAGGTCAGGCACAGAAGAATTTTAATCACTCAACAACTATGCTATGAATTCATGACCTGAAATACAAAAATTACAAGACACACCAAAGAAACAGTAAAAGAGAAAGCTCCATAAAACTACTAGGCTGCCACAGCATTGTAGAAAAACCAACTAAAAATTAGGCAATTCCAAAAAAGACAACAAAACACTTAAACTTTAATTTCCAAGGGTGCTTTGAATAGAAGAGGTTGTTTGTAGGTTATTCTGTACCCTCTGAATGAGAGAGACAGAGACAGAGAAGACCCCTGGTTCTCCACAGGTATTTTGTCAAAAAAAATGACTTCAAAACTATAGCACTCTGACTTTATTTTACAAGATAATCAACAAAATATGGCCCTGTCTTCTTAATCTTACTGATGCGGCCTCTCACAGAAGTTCAAACTGGCAGGGCTACTTGCAGAATGGCATCATAGAGGAAGCCAAACTGCACAGACTAGGGTCTTGTCCACAGTCAGTAAAGAGTCAGCTTTGAAGTTATTAGTTACTCATATGTACGCTACAACTTAACACATACTGTATATGCTATATTGTTCTCTGAGGGACCGTTTTAAAATAAAAGTGATGGATAACTTATCAGAGGCACATGTTTTATGAAATAAAACTGTCTTGTTTTTTCTGCTTGGATAAGGTTCCAGGTACTTCTGAAGCCTGAAACTCAAATGCAATAAAATTCAACTATCTCTTTTACCTTCTTTACCAAGTGGAAGCAATTTCAAATACTATCTATAGAGACAAGTGTGAACTGGTTTTATCATCACGGTAAGTTTTTCCTAGTGACAAGAATGTTGCTGAAAGGACTAATCTTGAGCAAGCAAAGATGATCAGGTAACGAGTGCAGGAGCTCCCAAAGCCTCTAGGGAATAAAGCAGCATGCAAAATACAATATGGCATTATTATTATTTCAGCTAGGTTGTTTTGACTGTGAAAGTAAGGTTCAAAATCAATGAAGAAAATAAAATTTGATGTACTAG